TGCTGTTGGATCCTGTTTGCTAGGATCTTGTTTAGAATCTTAGCATCCATATTCATCAGTGATATTGGTCTGAAATTCTCCTTTCTGGTAGGGTCTTTGCCTGGTTTGGGGATCAGGGTAATGCTGGCTTCATAGAAAGAGTCTGGAAGTTTTCTTTCTGCTTCAATTTTTTGAAACAGCTTCAGGAGAATAGGTGTTATTTCTTCTTTGAAAGTTTGGTAGGATTCCCCAGGGAATCTATCAGGTCCTGGGCTCTTGTTTTTGGGGAGGTTTTTGCTTCACTCTCGTTACTAGATATCGGTCTATTCAGGTTTTGTTGAAATGCATGGAAATTATAGGCTTTGAGGACATCTCAATTCAAATAGTGCCCCCAAATTACAGATGGCCTAATTTGGGGTCATGTCAATTACCTGTCATAATACGGTGTGAAGGAAGTAAAAGAGTGATTGAATGTGCAGAACAATGTGATCCTGTTTCTGGTTGAGTAAATAAGTTTATTTATAGCCTATACGTGCCTAGTCCAAGATATTGGATTCCATGGACTATGTAATCAAAATTCAGATAATTCCATATACCCCTGCATCCTCATATGCACAGCCCCTGCCATCATTGTCCCTTTCCAGAGTGATACATTTGTCGCAATCAAGGAACCTACACTGAACCATCATTATCACCCCAAATGTACAGTTTACAGGATAGTTCGCTCCTGCTGTAGATATATCTGTGGGTTTAGACAAATCTACCAAAGTGTGCAACCATTAGAGTATCATACAGAATACTCTCACTGTCCAATACCCCGCTGTACTCTGCCTATTCATCCCTCCCTCCTCTCTAACCCCTGGCAACCATTCCACTTTTTACCATCTCCATGGACAGTGGATTATGCCTTTTTGAGCTGAATAATATTTCATCATCTGGATGCACCAGTTTATTTAGCCATTTGCCTTGAGAAGGGCATCTGGTTAAATACAATTTTGCAACGTCTGAGTCAATCTCCTTTATACATTGGTGTGCAGGTTTTCCTGTGGAAATAAGTTTTCAACTCCTTTGGGAAAATACCAAAAAATGATCGCTGAATGAGATGGTAAGAGTAAACTTAGTTCCAATGAAACTGCCAAAAGTGTTTGCCAAAATGGCTACTCCCTTTTTGCATCTCTACCAGCTGTGAATGCTAGTTCTGTTCCTCCACATCCTCACCATCAATTGGCTCTCTCTGTGTTCTGGATTTTGGCCACTACAACAAGTATGTAGTGTCATCTCTGACTTGCATTTCCTTAATGACCCATAATGTTGAACATCTTTCCGATGTCTGTTTTATACCTGTCTTATCTTTGCTGATGAGGTGTCTATTCAGATCCTTCGCCCATTTTTTAATTGCATCGTTTCCTGTTGTTGAGTTTGAAATATTCTTTGTTAGATGTGTTTTTACAAATATTTTCTCCCAGTCAGTGATTTGTCTCCTTGTGCCCCGGATAATGTCTGTCACAGAGTACTTTTCATTCTTTGCAACTGCATCTTGTTATTTCATATATTAATAAAGAGTATATTACTGTATCATTAATTTCTAAAATACTTTGATGTTTGTATATAAATAAAATTTAGTTCCTTACTATGCTCATGTTTCTTCATTTTTTGTTTTTAAAAACCTTTTTGTGAGAAGGCACCATAGATTTTTATTGGACCATGCGGAAGTCAGTGCACAAAGAGATTAGAAACACATAGCTGGAAAAAGGACCAGGGAGACTTCCCCACCACACCTCGACCTCCCATTTCCCTCCCCCACTGACCCTGAAAGGTGCTATTTGTGATATAAAATCTTTCTGTCTGTCTGACAAAGGGAGATCCCACCAGTCCCTTTCTCTGGGGGTTTGGGGATGGGGGTGGGGGCACAGGGAGGGTTCTATTGTCAGTGTACACAGTATTAACTCTAAAGCCTGCACAGGAGACACTCTGCCAAAATGGCAGGGAGACATGGAAAATCAGGGGCATTTGATCTTTCATTTTTTATGTGTTTGATCAACTGTCTTTTATTTGCAAAAACATCATATAGTTGAGTTCCTCATCATTTCTCCCAGCCTTTCTGGGTACATTTTATCATTATCCTCCCCTAGGACCACCCCACAATCAAGCCTGAGTAGCTCATAGCATGTGATCGATGGATCCCTGAGAACTTACTTGCTGGGATAAGAGTGGGAGAGAGAGCTTGGACTGTGAACAGTCTAAGATGTTCAAATTTGTCTCCATGTTCTTTACTAGAATCAACCCAAGGATCAGTCACCTAGATTACCTAATAAAGAGCAAATTCTTTCCCCCAGTCACCTGCCCTTCACCTCCCACCTCTGCTTATTTGTCTCCCCCATCCATCCTTGGAGAACAGAGCAAAGCTTAGGTACTCTTCTAACCTGGTCTTGGCCATAAAGAACTAGAGCTTCAGGTGGGAATGTACCAGCACTTTTCTCCTGACCTGTCTGCTCCTCTGAAATCTTTTTTCTTTAGAACCAGCTTGAATTCTTAGAGCTGTTTCCTCCCTCAGGGATGCATTAATAGCCACTCAGCAAGATGAGAACTCTGTGGAAAGCAGATTCACTTAGAGCAGAAACTGCACGGTCGGTGGGCAGACATGTTCTTTCTGCTTCTTCCATGTCAGCCATAGCATTGGATATGGTTGAAGACATGTGTAGTCATTTCCTGCATGGTGACAACCTTGACCATGCTGACTGGGACACGGACAGGATGGCCCCTTCCTGCACCATTCTAGCTGCTGCAAATGAAGCCAGGGCTGTCCCAGTGGGGAGA